ACCTACACGTAAGCCTACTGAGTTTAATAAGCCCTAATTCAGTGAGGATAGACATCTGATTACACTGTTGTGTTTGTTTGTCATATGGAGGGAGCAGCAGCAAAAAGAACATTGTGGATTGGCCATTGCTTTTCAGCAGCAAGAAACTCCAGAATGCCATCATAGCCAAATCTGGCTTGAAAGCGAGCTATGCTTGGCCGCTGTAGACTTCTGCAGTGATTCGCTGGTGACTTCCGACAGAAATTAGCAGCTCTTTGCCATTTTGTGTTGTGAGCTGCCCCGAGGTGCTGTGGCACAATCAGGCAGCATACAAATGTTTTAAATCAATAAATCACCATTCTTGGTAACACAACGGTGACAGTGGGCTGTACTGCAGAGGCTGCAGCCCGTGGTGGCCGTTCTCTGCTGCAGACAGAAGGATATTCAGCATGTAGTGCCATGCAGGCTAGGACAGAGGAAAGCTCTACAGTTCCCAGCATCCCACAGCCAGTGCGGTTCCTCCGGTTTCCCCCTCCCAATCGCCTGTCCATGCATCCCTTTTTACAAATAGGGGTACCCTTAGGAGGCAGGGTCTCTTAAAGACATACAGTCACATACCCGGTAGAGCATATGCAGAGTGGTGTATTTTTCTGTCCTGTGGGCCTTGAGTGCTTTTCAGTGGATGGCACCATGCTGGCTCCCTCTTTACCCTTGGTACATGCATGCTTACAAAGCCTTTATATTGTAAATCTGGACAAATCTCTGGCTGTTTGTTTATGTAGTCGGGGCTTAATGATCAGAGAGACTGGATTAAATAAAATTCTAGGATGTTTTGAATTCCTCCAACTTTGCCTAGCAACCAGTTAAGAACAATTATTCTTGGAACAGCAAGCCCGAATTGTTCAGAAACGCTTTCCTGCTTTCTTGCCCATAGCGTACGCATTCATTTTCCCCTTTACCATATCAAACCCTTTCCAGGCTAGTCCTGTATTTCCTCACAGTTTTCTTTCAGAGTAGGTGCATTAGGCTCAACTGGCTTCTCGCCACTGCTTATGTGAAAGGTGCTCTGTGGCGTCAGGTCACTCTGGTGCCCCTGCTTGGCTTGCAGAGCCTTTCTGACAAGTATCTTCCAGTATCCTCGCTTCTTAAAAGGGCAGGCACAGCCTTGCCAATAGCAGGGTGCCCTTGTCAGGGAGGACTTGATTGAGAGAAGAATTCCAGAGATACTTGGAATGCAGTCGTAAAGCTAGCTCACAATCCAGCAGAGCCCCACGGAGATTCTGGGGGATGCACCGGCATGGCTGCCATGAGGAATCAGCCCTTGGGCTAGCTGCACACATGGCTGCTCTCCAGGATGTCACAGGCCATGTTGTGGTCTTTCCGTTTGGCTTTAGCCTCAAGTGTTTGCACTGGCCTCAACGTGCTTCTGACGCTTCAGTGGTGATGCGCTTTAACAAGTGCATCACCATTCATGCTGTTCACATCATGAGGGCATCTGATTTTTTCACAGCCACCTTCACACATGATAAATGCTTCAAAACACACACTGTGGGCAACTTACAGATACAAACCCTACGACTTGTCAGTGGGAGTGCTGTTAGATGTTTGGCAGGATGCTTCCATGCAGCGGTCCAGCTGACTGGCTGGTGCCAGAGACCAGACGTGAAGGAGGGGCCGTGGCTCCGTAGCAGAGCAGCTGCTTTGCATGCAGATGGCCCCGGTTCAACCCCCAGCATCCCCAGGTAGGGCTAGGAAAGAATCCTGCCTGAAACCTGGGAGAGCTGCTGCCAGTCCGTCTGGACAAGACTGAGCTAATTGGACTACGGTTCTGACTCCACACAAAGCAGCTTTCTAGGTTCCTGTGATCTGACTAGGCAGTCTGCCCTTGATTGTTACACATACATTCGTCTTAGATGATGATGATATAGTATATGGTGTCAGATACATGGGTTTTGTACTGGCTATTGGTGTTTAGTGAGCTGCTAAAAGTACTGTTTTGCTATGGCAAAACAAAAGAATAACATCGGGAAGTTCTGTCTTCCTCTCATGCTGAGAACTCAAATGCTTCCAGTTCACATGATAGCTTGACACTTGCCCCTCAGACTGTGGTGTGAGTGTCACATGCTGTTGTTCAGTCAGATCAAGGCAGGGAGGAAGCAGGAACTTGAATTCCTTCAAGTTTGGATTCCTCGGATTTCTTTCTTCTACTAAAGAAATCATAGGAGTATGTCCAGGAGGGAGAAAGGGACATGTCAAAAACCTGTCTTGTGATCAGCTTCGTACCTCCTGGTGCTGCTGACGACACTGTTAGAGGGCTTTGCCTGATTCTGTAGCCTGAAACTTCTGCACGCTCCCAGAGGGCTCTTTTGCCAGGGACTCAGGCTCTGAGGCAGAGGATGATGGCAAGGCTCTGTCCTCTGGCTGGGAGGGACACGGGTTAGGCTGTCCCTGTCCTGTCCTGAGGAAATGACCATGCTTCATCCATATAGGAATTTATTTATGTATTATTTATAGCATTTTTATGCCGCCCCCATCGCAGAAAGCCTCGGGGCAGCTTACAAAGACGTGCATACCAGAAGGCCCAAAAGCAAGGGGGGGGGGCGGGGCCAGGAAACTGACGCACTCACACAGTGCAATGCAGGCAAGTCTTGCTGCAAACACGCAAGAAGTAGTTCACATGGAGATAAAATGAATGTTGTGCAGCAGCAGCAGAAGTGGGTGCCAAGGGGGTGGCTTGGTATTTTGGACTTGCATCCTCTGCTGTGCACTTTATAGTGTCTGGCAAGTCTTTTGGCTGCATCTTGTCTAGCATTCTGTGTCCAGTGGTGGCCAACAAAATTCTCCAGAAAGTTTACAAGCAGAACATCAAGAGAGCGTCACCTCTGAGCATGGATGTTTAATTTAGTGATTCTGGCTATCAAGAGTAGCTTCCAGTGGCAGAAGTGGGCTTGGGTGAATGGATCTATGGGATGGTACGATGAAATTGGCTTAGTGGAGGGAGAGCTGAAAACTGTGACCCCCCAAAATATTGAAGGCGTGCAGATCTTTGGAAAATAAACCATGTCTCCCATTCCATCTTCAAAGCACCAAAGCTGTGTCTTGCAGCAAGATGTTGCAATGTGGAGAGCTTCTCCTGTTTAGTGTGCCAGCCAGCCAGCTATGCGCATTTCCAGGACACACCATTCCGTTTCCCATCCACCCAGTTTTCCATCTTTTTGTGCTTCAGTCAGTCAACATGTTGTGAGTATGGATTGCTTTGGGTTGCTCCCCCGCCCCCGCTTAGTTCTTTCTTTGTTTCTGTTAACGTGTGGTTTTTAAGACAAAAGCAAAAACTTGAGCTCAGACTTCTTTTGCATATGACTTGTTGGAGTGTCAGTGTTGAAGTTCAGTTCTTCTCTGAGGAATCCATGATTGTCTGTCCGTCTGTCTCTTTTAAATAGCTTAGGTTTCCTGCTGAGAAATGGTAGTGTATATTTTAATCATTTAAAGGCCAAGCCCTTTTCATCATTTTCACAATACTGTGTTGGCCTTGGCTTAAGTCTGAACCCAGTTTCAGTGTGCAAGCAAGCAAATAGTTACCACCCTGCTGCAAGTTTTGCAGCCGAAGGCTTGCTAAGCCCTTTTGAGCACTGCTGAAGTCCCTTTAAAGAGCGCCGCTTGCAGAATCAGAAAGTAATTCCTCTTTCCTCAGCTTGCAGATAGGCAGTAAATGAATTAGCATTGCTTGGTTGGCTCCAGGAAAGCAGGTCAGCGTGCATCAAAAGACTAAACCAGCATTCTCTCTTCAGCACTAGTACAAAATACTTCATTTTTGCCTTTGCAGTTAAGATTACCATTCTTTACATTTACATCCCACCTTTTCTTCCACAGAGCTTAAGGTAGCACACACAATCCCCCTCATATCCCTTTTATCTTTGCAACAATCGTGTAAGGTAAATTAGTCTCGGAGCTGAGCATCACCCAGTGAGCTCAGTGGCTGAGCAGAGATTAGAGCCTAGATTTCTTGAGTCCAAGACACTAACCACTGTGCCATGCTGCCTGTCCTTGTTTCAGCCATATGTGCAAAGATGCTAAAGAAGTACTTTGCTGTTTTCCAACATGAGACAGTGAGCAGCTGTGGTGTTGCAGAGACAAAGGGTATCTCCTCCCCGCACCACGACATGCACCCATGGCTTGTAAAAGCATGGATGTGAGCACACCAGGCATCACATTAAGGAGTGTGGTGGCAGCAGCAACGGGGGCAGTGCAGAGAGCAGCAGAGGCAGCGGCAGTAAAAGAAGAGCGGAGGGGGAAGGAGTCCTGCGGGCTGGTAATTTAGGAAAAAACTGTCTTCTCGGGAAAAAAACAAAAATCTGCACTGGAGGACAAGGTCCACCTACAGCTGAAGAGTTTTAATACCCCCTTTCCCTTGTTTTGTGTCTGCAAAAAATTTACGCAGTGCACAAAATGAATTGAGATGTCCCGAACTGGTTGCTGATTCAGTTTCGAGCCCAATTTAAAGCATTGGCTTTGACTTTTAGAGTCTTAAACAGTTTGGAACAAAATTCCTTCAAATATGGCCATCGTCCATTTCCGTCTGCCTGCACTTGAAGAACACCAGCAGAGGCGCTTTTTGCTTGCCTGCCTTTGAGGGCTATTTGGGGAGCAAGTACACGCCGTGACTCCATGTCTCTGGCATGCGTTGCCAGTGGGAGTCCATCGGGCTCTCTCATTGCAGTCCCTGAAAATCTGTTTATTGTGAACCTTCCCCAATTATGCTTTGCTGTAGCTTTTTAGTATTATCTAGGCTGGATTATTTTATTGGCAGCACGTGTGGCTTTTAGAAAATTTGTGCTATTTTAGGATGGCATTGGCCTATATTTTATTGCTGTAAAACATCTTAGGGAGGGCTGCTGACCTGAACTGTGGCCCAGAAATATTTATGTACAACAGTGTGTGCGTGCATTTGTATAAAGAAATCATAGTAAAGCCAAAGCTTGCTTCTTGAAACATAATGCAAATTATCACTGCCTTATGTCCAGGTACGATATTGCAACTCACTGGATGAGGAAGAGAAGAGAGAACTCAAACTTTTCAGCAATCAGAGGAAAAGGGAGAACTTGGGCAGAGGCAATGTCCGGCCGTTCCCAGTCACCATGACTGGGGCCATCTGTGAGCAGGTAGGCCCGTTGTCTTTTTGCCGGATAGCTCTTTGATTCCCAGGGAATTCTCCCATGCTGTGGCACCCTTCTACCATGACACATGCAACACAATCTTGTTCTGGGATGCATTTTGCTGTAATGTCAGCTTGGGGTTATGAAATGCCAGGCCCAGAGCAGATGGGAAGTGTTCATTGTTTTGACCTTGCAAAAACTGTTGAGTATGAATCACTATTCATTCAATTCTCCCCAGGGGTAGAGAATTTAGTGTCTGGATAGTTAGGAATGTGTGCATTTATCAGTTCAGGGCTGCTGATAACCAGCCACAAAAACAGTTTCCCTCAGAGCATCCTCAGGGAATATCCTGTCTAGGTGGTGCAAGGCCAGGCCATAAAACCATAAGCAAACAAACAGGCTTCAGCCAGAGTCAAAGACTTTTTTATTATTATTATTATAACATTTCTATGCCGCCCCTTGCCGAAACCTCGGGGCGGCTTACAACACGATAAAATACAATGAAATACAATAGCACATAATAAAT